GGAAAGAAAGGATGGGAAGATTTTTCCACAATGTTTGGGAATGCTTGGTATGCAGAAAACCCCTGCTGACTGCCTGCTATCCTGACAGAGGGCCAGAGGACAGAACTGCAGATTCTGCTGATAACATCCAAATGTGTTAATTTTGCTGCTGCTTTGAGTGTTTTTCATCACCCTTTCCTAAAGCAAGAGAAAGACAGGAGGGACTTTTTCCTGTTTCCTTTGAAGCCTACAGCAAGTTTCCTTTCAATGGCAAAGTGTCAGGACCTGTCCTTGATCAAATAGTTTTGTATTTCTGCAGCAGACTGCATTTCCCTAAAAGCTCTTGATTTGAGCCATAGATCCTAGCCATAATCCCTTGACACCGTAAGAGCAGATTTTGGTCCTGGAGCCGGCATCCTGTGCAGACGATGCTTTTTAACTTAGTCTCACTCTGCACAGTGAACCCTGCATATCCTATTGATGACAATGCCCTCCAATTGTCTTTGGGGCCGTACCTTCTCCTAAAGTTGTACTTGGCCCTTCTTTTTTTCCTTTTACACTTACACTCACAGTGGTGCACCAGCACTGGTTGTAATAGCACCTTGTCATGTCAGGTCAAGAGGGATCATCAGGGTGGGTAATCTTCCTTGCAGACCCCTCAGTTCTAGTTCTGTAGCACAGTATTGCCTTGCAGGGAAAGCCACCACAAATAGTGTCCTTATTGAACCCTGCTCTGGTTCTAGTGCCACAGGCAGTTTGAAGGATGTGACCCATGAACTGTGTGCCCTAAGGAGGCAAAGGTTTCTCAAACCACATGCACCCAGAAAGGACACTGGTTATGTTGACTGGAAAAAATAAACTCCAGCCTTGAACACCATGCTCACTCTGGCATAAGCAGACTGGTTCACATCTATATGCAAGGATTGTGCATGCTCCTGTGGTCCCTCCCCATTTTGGCAGGAGGAATCTAGGAAAAAGCCGTAAAGAAGAAAGCCTTTAAAACATCCACCACCAAATTTTCAAAGTAACAGTTTGGAGCTGCTTCCTGCCTCACTGCCATGGGCAATCAAGACAGGAGCAATGGGAAATGGTAACACTCCATTTTTAAGCTCAAAAGCATCAAGAGGAGTATGGCACTGAAATTAAAAATAATATCTGATTTCTGCCCTCAGGAGATGTATGCTTTTCTACTGGGGAGATCAAATTTGAATAGGCACAAAGAAACATTCACATAACAAGAAGGTATGCTATTTCTTACAAGACTGTAAGAAGCAGCATAGTGTAAAGGCAATCTGTAGGCCAGATCTGAAGTGGCTTTGATTTTCTGGTGGTAGCAATACTCAAGCAAATAAACCACAGGGCTCTGAGAGCACATACAATATATACATTAATGCTTAAGGTGTTCAGATGAGAGAAGAAATTAATCTATTGGAGTTATTCCCTATCTGAACAAGATGCAAAGGAGTAGAGTTTGCAAGATGCTTGTGTGCTCAGAGCTAACAAACACAATCAGAAAGCAGGAGGTTCTATATTACACGTTTTCACAATACATGTCATACATAATGCTTTATATCATGATGTGATAAATCGCTTGTTTGTATCCACAGACTCACATACTTTAAAACAATCAGCAAAGGACTGCATTGCAAAACAGTTTGTCACTGCTGATTCTCCAAGCTTTCAATGACCTCTGTTTGGCCAGGTTGTTACTGATTGTCCTTTTAAAGAACATGTGGCAATATAGCAAATATCAGAGCAAGAAGAAAGGAACATTGCTAAGCAGAAGTTTAACTGTGTCAATCCTTTCTCAGAGCAGACCAGGTGTTAGACACCTGCAGCCTGGACTTTAAAGCACTGCACCTTTTCCCTTCCTCCCTTAATATCATGTAACTCGCAGAGGTATCTAAAGGTCTTGCACCCTTCTGCAGGCTATGGTCCCATGTTGTGTCTCTGATTGTTTAAAGCAAATAGAATATGTGTAGATTTTTCTTTCTGCCTTTTACTGTAGTTAAAAAATACCAGGTAGCAAGTCAATTTTATTTTGCTTTTTATCCAAAATTTCATGCAAATTTACAGACACAAATCTCACAAACCTCAAAGGAAAGAATGTATCTGTGCATTTTGTCAAGAGGAAAACACATGAACACAGAGGTTAAAAGACCTAATGAAAAGCATACCAGAAAATTACTGACAACATCAAGAATGAAACAAAAATAAAAAAGTCCTATCTTACCAGCCATCTTTTACCAGCCATTGTACCACAGAGTCTCCATCACTGTCCCTGTAATGCAATGCATAGCAGTATACAACTGCTTCCACTGACACTCTACCGTTAACAGTTTCATTACTTAACTTTTTTTATGCAGACGGGAAAATATTGTGATCCAATTTTTCAATATAGATTATTCCCTGCCTGTAACAATTATGTCTAAAATCCTCAAGTGATTCTTCAGTGTTCTATGCTTTGAAAGCGCCTTCAGCAAATTTTGCTGCTTGAGCAGGAATAATGTAGTGAAATTTTTTTTGTTGGGGGGTAAGATATTATGATGACCAGAAAGGATGACCCACTTCTTAAGGAAAGTCTAATAATGACCATAATTTTCTTAAATTATTACCATGCAAGTTGAACACTAGGGGTCATATTTAGATAACTACTGACATACTGCAGAGCATATCCAGGAGAAAAACAACCACTCTCTCACTCACTAATGACCTATGAATGTTTAACAATTAGCAGAGGAACGGTTGTGATTTTCATAGTATACAGTGCAAATGCTGCTTTGCTGTGAAGTGCTAGGTTGACCCTTGTATTTCCGTGCTTTCAACAGAAATCTGAAAAAGAAATAGGAAGGCTTGTAACATACTCATGGCATCAGATGAGTTCTATCTTTTTCCATAATGGGGAATGCCCCTGCACAGACATCTCAGGGCTGGTGGTCTTTTTGTATTTTCAATACCACAGTAGTTCCAGTTCAGGAAAAGTGGGACACAACACTTTTGTTGTTGAAACAAAGTGCTCTTGGAAAGGCCACGAAGCTCATTTAAGAGCCAAATTCAGAGGCAGCAACATTGGTTTTTTCATTAGTTTTACTAATCTTTTGTATACTTACATTTCCTGAAGTTAAAATTCACCACCTATAACCTCCAAACGGAAGAGAACTGGCTCCAAGCAAAGTGCCTTGAAATTAACTTTTCACCGTTCTTACAGCAGTCGAAATAGACCACAAGGAGATATGCAGATTTGTGGAAATGCAACTCTACTTTTGCACAGTCATGTCTCTACAGACATGTTCCTTTTGTAACCAACAAGAAATGCTAGAAGTGGCCTGGTGAGTGTCTTTGCATTTCCACTAACTCCAGCGGTGCTGTGGTTCCCTGATGAATGTGGAGGGCTTGTATGCTCATGCTGTTATGGATTGTCATAATTCTGGTTAGATCTCAACTTGCAGTGTCATGCAGTTCCAGGCAATGAAATGCAGATGTAGAATATAAGCATTAGCTCATGCCTAACACCCTTCTGTCTGCATGGCTTGCTTGTTTTCAGCATTTCCTCTAGGAGACTATCTCACAATTTGAAATATCTTGCTGTGACAGAGGTTTTCCTGACATCCATCCTAAAATTTCCTTCTCTTAATTTCATCTCATTATTCCTAATTAAACACCCTCCCACAACTACAGCCAGGTTGTGGCTCTTGTTTTGTGCACATGCTGAAGAAGAAACAGGGAAACTTAATTTAACCTAGTCCTGTGAGGTAAATGCAGAACCAACAACAAGAGACTCTTTAAAGGAAATTCTTTCAAATTTGAAGTGATAAGCATGCTAATACAAGCAGTTTAGTTTGAACTCAGATGCTGTAAAAAACGTGAATCCAAACTGAAAATAAATAAGCAGTTCAAGACAAATAAAAGGTGCAGAGGATTTTCACCTAAAGGCTTTTTAAGAACCTTTACTGCTCTTTCATACCAAATATATGTCACATGTATGTCTTTCAATCTTTCTTTGAAAACATACTGCCACACTTAAGTATCCCCACTGTTTTGTGGAGTTTCTTGTGAAACTCCCTGACCAGTACAACAACCGTCTGAAGTGGTTAGCAAGTTACTCCAAAGCCTTATTGCTAGTAACTTATTAGTAACAGGTTATCCCTCAAAGCATGGATTTGCACTCAGACATGGCTGTAAGAAACCCTGGATGCACAGATTTGACTAAAACTCATCATCACTTTGTGCAATAATAAGAGATTATTCCATGTTGTCCTGGTTAAATTCCAATTTACCTCTATTGTGCTGACATTTAGTTCTCCTGTAGTTTCAAATTGAGAGGGCTGCTTTTAATCTCCTTTCTCAAAGATGGTTGCTAGTACATAACAGCTAGTTATGTTACATCTGTTGCAGACATTGAGCCTCAACGCTGAGTGGAATAAATGGTGAGATACTTCAATCCCTAAATACTCTACAGGAAGTCAGAAAGTTCTATCCACCTAGAAATTTAGCTGTATAGACATCTTTATGTTAAAATATATAGCTGTTCACAAAGTTTGTTCTTCAGAAACCCATGTTATTAAACAGAACAAATTTATCTATAATTTGATTTCAGAAAAGTCAGAATATCAACTGAGACCCAAAAGGACTAAACATTTCACGGTCAAAATCCTACAGAAACAAAAAGAAACTTCAGGAAGTGCTCCAAGTCAAATGAAATAACAAACATTTCAAATGTTCTTTTTTTCTTTAAGACCTCTGGGAAGAAATCAATGTGTCTTAACAAACGGCTCTATTTTAAAAAGCACATCAAAGCACAGCAAATACCAGCTATTGAGTCCTAAGTCTGTTGACTGGGATACCAAAAAAAAGTTTTATTTTCATTCCTTTTCCTGCTTGGAGCAGAGAATCTCCACACAGCTAATGGCTGAAACACAGCCTTTCCTATACCATACATAGCTGGATTTGTGTATTTGTTTGTAATCCTAAGACACACAAAAGTGCATTGTGTAACTATCCACCCTATTTCATCTCAACAGGGTGGATTTCGTCTGGCAATGGGCAGTAACATGAAGCTGACCCTGATTTCAGAGTGGGTGAGGAAAGTACACGTCCAGGTCACGGCCTCTGTGGATTGCAGGTGGAAAGCCTGATACGTGGTCTGCCAGTGTGTTGCAAAGGGCCTTGTCTGGAGAAATGCCAAGCAGGCAGTGAAATAGAAAGAAAACATCTGGTTTCTTGGAGTCCTACAGACAGTTCATGTGCAAAACAGGTATAGTAATAGCATAATTTTATATTAAAATTTTTCTTTCTTGGGTGTGATGCAACAAGGGAAGCATGTAAAGAGTGAGGCTGGTAGTTGAAACAGTATTCTCATGTGAGTTTTCACAAGCTTTATTGGTAGTACTTTCATGCTGGTAGGTTTTAAAATGTTTGCTATACTCTATCATTGTGACCCATTTCAAATCATAAGGGGTGTCTTGTTAATTCTGTCAAATGTCATTTCAAAAAGGGAAAAGTTTTACAAAACACTCTCCGAAGTTCTGTGTTTTGTTACATCTGAGTCTCAGAACTAGACTTTTAATGCTAGGATCTCCACCCCATACTACTTAGAAAATTATTTTCAATGAAAAATTATGTTTAACATAATCAATTTCTATAAGATGGACCATAAAAAGAAGATAAATATTAAGCTACAGAGTTTCCATCCAGTAGTGATAGAGAACTATTTTTATCAAGTGTGTAACTTTGGGACAAAATAAACACCTGGTGTATTAAAGTAAGGCACATGGGACAACTTATCAGAGGCAGGTCAGAGGCTGGAAGAATTAGCATAAGAGTCTTATACAGATCACCTCTACTTGATATGTTTTTGTATTCCAATAGGAAATCACATAAACAAAATCTGTGCACTTAAATATTGAATTTTGTGTTTCAAATCACAAGCTAAACACATTTTAAAAGCTGGTGAGAATGACTTAGCTTGGGAGCAGCTTATGCAAAACACTGAAGCATGGGCACTTGCTGTGGCAATGAAGAGAGTGACTCATCTTTGGAGTAGCAGCTTCAGTATTTGACTCTTCAAATCACAGTTTCCCTGCTTGGGAGTAACAGAGGCCCCTACAAAGCACACGACTGAACATCCTCACTTCTTCTTTTCAATGAGGATTGGTGAATTCAGCACCTTGCAAGAACTGGGGGTAATGAGGAACTACAGTGCTGTCTTTTGTTGTAACTTGTTGTAAAAAGCTGAGAAAACATTCCTTCAGTAAACTGCGGTTGGAGAATTATTTGCATACTGCAAGTCAAGTTTTTGATACTGTAAAGCACTAGGACTATACCCTGCAACCTACATATCTGGAGTTTTGTCCCAAACACATTATTAAAATTTACTGATTCATTAGGGAATGCCCCACCAGTATATTTAATCAAATGTAACTGTTCTGCTTTAGCAAACAAGGATATAAAAGTAGGAAGTCCCTACATTTCTATGGGCTTGTCCCAAGACACAAGCAGCAAATTAGTGAGACAGCTCAGGATAGGGAGAATTAAAGACCAGTTGACTGTGGACTTGCTCAAGGGAAAGAGAGAGTGGGAGTCTCTGGTAGTCCCAGGAGCTCTGTTTGCTGAAGATGAGGAGCTGTTGATCAAAGTCTTCTGCAGGACTGCAAGGTGGCCTTGGGATGAGGGACTAAAATGTCACCTCTCCCCTTTCTGCCACATCCACCTTTCAGAAGGTGGTTGATTCATGAATCTGTGGCTTCCTGCCATGACATTTTGGTGGCAAAGCCTGCTCAAGGTGTTGACACCCTCATTGCCCCACGCTACACTCATGACACCTGGCAATGCTGCAGTTTCTAAGAGACCTGGAAAACAGAGACCATTCCTTTGCTTTGGGATGGATGAATCATTGCTCCAGGAATTACTTTTAACCATAGAGTCTATACACCTCAGTATGGCCAGTGCAACCCTTCCTGCCCAAAGCACTGTAGGTCTATCTTAGTTTTTCACTCTCTCTCTCAACAGTAGCTCATTCCTGCCCCACCACAGCCCAGCTGGAAGAACAACTGCTAACACTGAGGAGCCTTCTAGGGAGGTCACATACATACAACAGGTTCTATCATGCTCCTCTTCATATTCCAGGGCATCCCAGAGCATAGAGACATTTTAGGGCCAGATGAAGAGAGAAGTGAGACAGCCATGAGAAAAATGGGGGGTTTTGTGGGTCCAGTTTCTCCTTTGAGCTGCGTTCAACCCTTAGGATGCTTCATAAGACAATTAGAGCTTATCTAAGACAACATAAGCTCCCTGGAGATGTGTTCACACTGTTTAATTTTAGAGATTTAATGTATGTGCTCTGACTAGACTTCTGAACAGCTCTGTCTCTCTCTCCATTAACTCTGTCAGGAGCTCAGGCATCCAGGCTTTCCCCTTCTACATTGTCTCTTGCTATTACAAGCCCCAGGTGGCCCAAAGTATTGAGACCACACATTTGCACAAGTGCCACTTTCCTAAACTCCATCACCAGGAGCTGCTAGCTGGTGCAGGAAGTAAAATACCCCCAGAATTTCTTCTCCTGATGGACAAGACCCTGCTGGGGGAGGAACTGGGGCATGAGGAGGTCTCCCTGTCAGCAAGCACTGCTGTGTGTTCACATCCACATGTTCTTTGTGATATTCACCTGGACAGACCCTTTCAATATGAGCAGCCATCCTCAGTCGTCCAAGGGAACGGCAAAAGTACCCATGACGCTAGGACTATCAAATGGATGATACACAGGATGCAATAAAAAGCCTAGAAAATGAGCATTTTTTTGTCCTTTCTGAAAATGAGTGATGTATTTATGAAGTGCTTAGCTGCCATTTTATTCTTGAATAGGTTGTGATCTGTCTTGCAATTGCAAAGTGCTTCGAATCTTAGTCTTCAGTGACATCGTGTTTATGTGAAAATGAGATGCACTAGGGACTGAAGCCTGTTTGTTGTAAAAAACAATAAATGATACAGGTTATATAAATGTTCAGGTTATTTATAAGAATAGTACATCTGATTAATTCTATTTTTCAGAACTGAATGAAGATGAGTACTGAGAAAATATTAGAAATAATGAAAAATAAATGGACTTGAAAAAATACCAGTTCGAGGACAAAATCACAGATCTGCGAACGCAAACATGGTTAACTAAATTTACTGTGAAAATCTCTGACTGCCCCTCCCTAGAGAGCAGGGATCCTCAATAACACTGACACATAGTGGCATTCCCATGATACCTGCTACTTTCCACCTCTGGCCATGCATGTTAAAGGAGTGGTGCCGCTGTTGTATGATGTGCATGCAAGGCATTGGTGTGCTGTGGGCAGCTGTCCACCAGAAACTATGACCCTTTGTCCCCGCCCACTCTGCTTAGAGTGGCACCGAGCTCACCAGTGACTCTAGCTACTGGGGAAAAAAAGGTCATCTCCTTAGAGTGTTTTTCTCTTAATCCTGTGCTGAAAATGCCATTGTCTGAAAAGACATCCAAATCATATGCTTCTACAAGAACAGTCCCTCTTTTCCCTGGAAGGATTTGCCTGATCTTAACTGCCTTTCCACCCCTGCAATATGTCTTGATTTGAATCTGATTTAGATCAAAAGATCAAAGTCTGATATTTTTCTTTAGCTACATTGGTCCTGAAGATATTCAGATAGTATTGTGAAAACTGAATTTTGATATTATTCTCCTTCATTCAGATTTAGGGTATATTTGCTCTTGTTCTAAGATGCTACATGATGAATTTCACCCATGGAGAATCTGTTTTCTAGGGTCTGAACCTGAATCAGAACAACTCTAAACAATCTTGCCTTTTAGTTCTCTTCTTAGCAGAAACCTCTCATTTCCCTCCTGGGACCTTTCCCCACCCATATGTGGAATGTTTAAGGCTCTAGGTTTTTTCCAGTGTGACTCTAGAAGTGTTCTGTTTACTTCGAGTGAAGAAAATAAAGATATAACCAGAATCAGGCATTCATTTTCTGATTTGATCTCATCATGAATGCATTTATGAAAATCATCTATTTCAGTAAATTCAGTTAGCTTTTTCATCATACTTTTTTTCATCAAACAGTTTTCATCATACAGTTTTCATCAGCTGCCTAGACCAGCAGTTGGAAAAGCCGGCAGTGTTGCTCTGAGTAGTTTCCAGTGCACACATGAACTGGAAGATAAATCAGAACAGCATAGAACTTTTCGGTGAGCTCAATCCCCACCAAAAGTAGACATCCAGACTGGCTAAACAAAGATGTCCTTCACCAAGGGCAAGTCCTGTCTGAGTAACCTAGCGGCATTCTATGATGGCTTGACTACTTCAGTGGACAAGGTAAGGTCTTCCCTGGATTTCTGCAGAGCCATTCACGCAGTTCCCCACAGCATCCTTCTCTGTAAATAAGAGAGAGAAGAATTCAATGGGTGAACTGTCTGGTGCATCAGAAATTGGTTGGACAGTCATATCCATAGGGTAGTTGTCAATGACACAGTCCTGATGGACATCAATGACAAGTGGTGTCCCTCAGGGTTCATACTGGGACCAGTATTATTTCATATCTTCATTAATGACACAGAGAAGGGGATCAAGTGCACCCTCAGCAAATTTGCAGATGACATCAAGCTGAGGGGTGCAGCTGACATACCAGAAGGTGGGAGTGCCATCCAGAGGGACCTGGACAAACTTGAGAAGTGGGCCCATGGGAATCTCACAAGGTTCAGCAAGACGAAGTGTGAAGTGCTGCACCTGGATTGCAACCCCTGGGGCAACCCCTGGTATCAATCCAGGCTGGAGGATGAACAGATCGAGAGCAACCTTCCAAGAAGGACTTGGGGATGCTGGGGAATGAGAGGCTGGACATGACCCATCAGTGTGTGTTTGTAGCTCAGAAAGCCAATTGTATCCTGGGCTGTGTCAAAAACAACATGGCCAGCAGGTTGAGGGAAAGGGTTCTGTCCCTCTATCCCAGCCTTATGAGGTCCTACCTGGAGTGCTGCATCCCACTTTGGGGTCCCCAGCACAGGAAGGATATCAGGACATCAAACTATTGGAGCAAGTCCAGAGGAGGCCCACCAGGATGACTAAAGGGATGGAATAAATTTTAGCTCTTTATGTTTTAGCAGTTTAAGTTTAAAATTTTGTTCACCTTACACTTAAAAGAATGAACAGCAAAAATTTCTTAAATGATTAATCAATTTTCCACTAGAAGTAATTAATTCAGGAGCCGAAGAAAACCTGGATTTATTATTATGTTTTT